ATATTTGTAACTGACATCGTTTCACTTGTTTGTACATTCCGTCATGTCAGTTCCTATAACTTCAGTTCTCGTTCCAGGTGCTGATGCAATGTTTTTTCTTTCTTATACTGAGATGATGACTGTTATTCTCTCATTGACAAGTTCAAAAATTGTAACTTGAAATGCACATGAGGAATCAACAGTTGTTGAACAGGCCAATCACAATAGCGGTATAGCTAGTAAAGCAATATAGCAAGATAATACAGCAAGATAACTCCTGACACCAATTGTATGCATGCATGTGGAATCTTATCACAAGTGGACCTCAAGTTTTATTGCACTTTCACAGAAGGTTCATTGTAGACTTGAAGATCTGCAGACATCCTGCTCTTAGGGAAGTGACGGCCAAGCAGAAAACAAGGTCATAATTCTTTCCGTGAGGGAGTGGGTTTAAGGATGGGGCTGATGGTATAGCCCCCCAATGAGATGAGCTGGACTGAAGGTATAGAGATATGATATGCTATGGAATGTTCTTTGTTTAAGAGTGTCTGTGATGGGGTATATAACATGTAAGGGCGGTGGCCACAATTCAGAGATCACCCTAGTGTTTGATTGGAGTGGTTCTCTTCATATTGAAATATGTTATTAAACTCACTTCAAATAATGCTCACCGAGGTGTTTGCAGGTTATTGTTAAAATTTCCATAACACTACATTTCTAGGGAAGTGCAGATCAGGTAGCACTGTAGGATTTTAGAGGGGTTTGTGGTTCCAATATAGTTACGGTGTAGATTTCCCCACAGGAGTATAAATACCCAATAAGTGAGTCCAAAAGGGAGCCACCCTAAATTCCCATGTTTAAATATCCAAGTCCACAGCACTAAATTCAGTTTACAGCCTGGTTGAAAAAAAAAAAACATAAATAAATTAAATAAAATAAAATATACAATAATAATAATAATAATAGTTATTATGATGATGATGACGATGATGATGATGATTACGACGATGATGATGATGATGATGATGATGATGACGACGACAACTACTACTACTGACTTCTATGGACAGTTTCAGTTTTAGTAGATTGCTAACTTAACATTCTACCTGCTTATCCAAATATGGCAACTTCTGTCTTCCGTCAAAATAAAAAACATCATAGCAGGAAAAAAAAGAAAAAGAAAAAGAAAAAAGAAAATGCTAATGCTTAATGTGGAGACATCACAGTGCTTACGTGGATCTATCATACTCTATGTTCTAAGCTAAAATATTCTATATTAGTAAACAGATCACATTCCTTTATTGAACATGTTAAAAAAATTACTTTGAAGGTCATCAGTGTATCTGGGCAGCCCAACTACAGTCCATGTGTGGAAAACAATGCTGTACTGGTCTGTGTACCTTTTTGCCTGTAGGAACACTCCCCGTGAAAGAGACTTTAGCGACTTTTGGATGATGGCAGAGCAAGCTGCC